TCTGACATCTGTGCAGACAAAGAACTGTCTTAGGTGTGATTTAATTATGCGAAGATGCGACGTGACTTAATGGACCGAAACATTTCTTATCATTAAAATAATTCTATTAATTTACAAATTTTGTAATTCTCATCTTTCACCTCCCTTTTTTCTGTTTTCGTTCGTTGTTAATATACCTTCCTATTACCTCATAGCATGCATCGGTTTTTCATGAATTATGGACATATAAAAACACTACAACGAGATCAGACTGGAAATTTGTCTGTTCTGCTATCAGGATAACTGAAGCTCCAGAGCTAGAGATGCTAGGAAGTTGAAATTTTGAAAAAGTGCTCCAGGATGTAGAGGCCAGCAGCCCGAAGTTAAAATTTGGAAGCACAAATGTCTTGATTTGTGCCTCATTCAAATTTGGATCATTGTCATAACTCGAAAACGAAAACGTTGAAGTACTTTGGCTCTGATTCAGAATAATGTAGTGTGAACAACTTAGAATCAGCTTTAAAATCTCGTTCTGGCGCAATCAGTCCGGCATAATGATTTTTTAATGTCAGAACAAAGGCTAGAAATTTTGGATCATTGTCTTGCAGGGTGAACGACGCAAATTACAGTTTTTTAAACCCAACTCAAAAATTTTTCAAAAAACCCAATTTCTAAACCCAATTTTAATTCCAGTTAAACCCAATTTAAACCCAAGCACTGAAATTAGACTTTTAAGACGAATCAAAACGTGAACACACAACTTCGATAATTTAATGAGTGAAAAAGATCACTGCTGCGGAGCCCTTGTTTGAAGTAAAACATTCGTAGCGATAAGAGCTTATCAAAAAAAACGCTTTGAAAGCGCAGATCGACAAAATGTGTAATTATTTCCTTCTTTTTCTTCTGTAAAATTTTTAGAAGTGCTCGAAGAAATGCATATTTCTTCTGCCCGGAGATACCTAATTTTGTCTGCGTTAGTTGCTAGCCAGTGCCGCAACAGGTCCATACCATTCCGAAGATCGTCGGAAAATTGCTTTCTTTCTTGCAAGTATCATTACTAATGCGGGACAACCACGAGTTTTTAGCAGAACGAGTAACATATTTTGCCCTGTGGATTTTATTTCCCAACATTACGATGGCATCCTAGTTATTTGGAGTGATCTTCATTACTGTCTCTGCAGCGAGCGAATTATTCCACTCTACTTTTTTCACTCATGTTTATGTCAGTGCCTTTGGCCTTATGGAGGTAGAGCCTTCCTGTTTTAATCTACAAATTTGTTAGAATAGCTTTTCTACAAAATCCACAAAATTACTTTTCGTACCTTTGTTCTATTTTCCAGTGTCGACGAAAAACGCTTTTCTATTTCGTTTCCCGAGAAACTGGCTTTTTTTACAGACAGTTGTGGTGCAGGCGGAGCAGAGGGTAGAAGGTTTCAGGATCGGATTAGGAAAAGAAGGGGAGTGCTTTATTGAGTACGTGTAAGTTTTATGTTTCAGTAGATTTACCGCTCCCTTTGATAGCGTGTCGGCTGGGAGCAGCGTGATGACCGTGTTGACCTTGTTAAGTGGATGAAGAGGAACAAGATTAGCCGCTGCCTCACATCTGCTAACGAGTGACCTCATCCTAATCCATCAAATCCCAACAGTAACAAACATTATTACAATGTCTTCTCATTTGTAATCCAAAACTGTGCTATGTACACTGTTCACACAGTTTCGCTACTTACTTTGGTAGCTGTATCCTTGGAAAAGGGAGATAATCTGAAATGCTTTGAGGATTCACACTACTTAAAAGCGTCGGATGGAGAATCTAAAACATGGTTTCCAGAAGGTGAAAGAGGCCAAATTAAGAGGGAAGTTGCTAATGAGATTTTTAGCTTCGAGTGTGGTACTCGAAAATGAAAAACAGTTCGCTAACGAAGCATATCAGATTTTCGTGGAAATAATCTACGAATTTGGATGGAATGTCATTACCGCGCTCACATCCGTCCCGCCGTAAATCATGTTGACAAAAATGATATTCACCATTTATCGGCATTTACATCGCTGACCGCGCAAGAATTTATGATAGCCACTGCGAATGTAGCCACTGACCAGTTCTCTATATTACTCTCACACCATATTTTGTCCCTGTTTTTGTGATTTATTGTATTTTACTGAATCTAAATTTCAACTTCGGTCAGCCGTTGTTTCGTTGACGAACATTATCGCGCTATCGCTGCGGCTAAGAGATTTTATTCATAATTTTTCCATCAGAGCTGCATCAGCTGGTGATCAGCCGTTCTAAACGTTCATTTCTTTGGTTTTTCTATGTTTTTTCATGCGAACTAGAGCAGTGGACTTAAATCTCAAA